ATATTTTAGTGCGATTTAGGAGTACTCCTAGTGGTAAGATAAAATTCTTTGTGAATACGGCCCCAGGTCTATGCTCAAAAAGTGAATAAATGGATTATAAATACAGCGTAAATATAACTTAGTACCATAAAATCCCCTAAAAAATACAAAATATGAAATAAAAAACATTATCAAGCTAAAATATAGTAGGGGAGAGCCGGAGTTGAAACACTTTTCAGATAAACGTTGTTTTCTAAGATAAGGGTACAGATTTTTTTTTTTTTTTTTTTTGTGATCAACAACTCACATGTGTTCTCTTAGTATCATGTGTTATTCGGTAGAAATATAGAATGATTTAAGTAAAAAATTGACGCCAGCGGGGCGATTGAAACACAGGGGTGGGACGGATGAAACATACCAGTTTAAACGGTAACTATTCATCTAATGCTTGTTTTTCTGAACAATACCTGACAAGTAACTTATGTACATATTGCTACAAACATATTTTGTAATTTATTTTAATTTTAAGGTTCATATTAACATTTTTGTTCTGTCGCCCAATAAACAATAGGCGATAAGCATTTGCGCATTTTGCGTAATCTTTCTAATAGGCTGTTTTGAAGAAGACAGACAAATCCGTTTACAATAAATTTTCTTACATTTATTCCTAGAGTCATATTGAGTGATTGAGTCATATTGAGTGTTTTCCTATGACCAGGTTTAACTGGCAGGAGTCGTTGTTTCAACCGCCCAGAAAGCGCCTCCTGCCAGTTAAACATGTTTTGTCCTTAAAAAATAAAAAATTCCCAATAAAACTCTGATATTAGACCCTTAAAGGGTTGGTTCACCCCAAAATGTAAACTCTGTCAGTAATGACTCTCCCTCATGTCGTTCAACCCCGTAAGACTTTCGTTCATCTTCGGAACACAAATTAAGATATTTTTGATTAAATATGAGAGCTGGGTCACTCCACAAATGTTATTTTTGTTTGTTTTTTGCACACAGAAAGTATTCTCGTCGCTTGATAAACTTAAGGTTGAGCCACTGTAGTCACTCGGACTATTTTAACGATGTCTTTAATAACTTTTCTGGCCTGGCGAGTTTCAATCCCCTAGAAGCCTATGGAGGAGTGAACCAGCTCTCAGATTTAATCACAAATATCTTAATTTGTGTTCCGAAGATGAACGAAAGTCTTACGGGGTTTAACAACATGAGGGAGAGTAATTACTGACAGAGTTTACAGTTTTGGGTGAACGAACCTTTTAAGGGTGTGTTGCAGTACTAATACACCTGCCGTATTATCATTACAATGGCACATGAAACAATAAATACAACTTGTCAGTCAAAAAAAACCAGTACCGCACGAAAGAATTCACTAACCACACTCAAAAACAGCTTTAAACCGGTAGGCTTTAAACTTTAAACCGGCATGACGTAAAGAAGACATGTTTTCGCCGGTCTGGTGGGCATTGCGTGCTGAAATTTGACGTACATGACGCGAGTGGTTTTCAAGGAAAATCTCAATGTTTCATCCGTCCCGTGTTTCAATCGTCCCGGCTCTCCCTGCATTCATTTCATTGAATTTTGTCATTTTTGACCGACACGCGAAGAGCACCAGAGGGTTAATTTTTCTTATAAAATCCTTATAAAATTTCTTATAAATGGATTCATAAGAATAAATCGTATAAATTCATAAGAAATCACCCCCTTATGAGACCGGGCTGACAGATTCTGGTAACAGGTCTCTGAGTAACCCATAAAACATCCGAAGTCCTATTCTTTCCCAAAAGATTTTGCTATGCAAGTGTGTCGTCTCCTAGCTAAATGAGCAAAGACAGGTATTACTTGATTCGCCGAGAGGGTTTGTTTTTGAGAGGGTTCGGGTAAACAGTCGTTGTTTTTGCTATTTCACTTGTGAACACTAGTAGAAGTTCAATAAGGTCACTAGATTGTCAATAAGAAGTTACTGTACTAGTTAGACTACACACACACACGTGAATAGAGTGCTGCAGGGATGACATATTTCTGTAAGCCAAAACCCACAAACGAGTTTGTATTTTAGCACTTCCTGTTCCATCGTCCCGAGGTCAATGAGTTTTTTGAATGGGGTTTTTGGTTCATAAGGTTCGCGGTGAACACATGCAGGCTCAATATATTTTCATGTTTTATTCTCTGATATAAAATAAATTAATGTAATGGGATTTTTTAAGCTTTTACTCTTGTAAAAAGGCGGTTGCTAACAAGTGTCGGGCTCGTTTACACTGGAGGTCTTGATGCCCAGTTCTGATTTGTTGCCTATATTCGATTGTTTTGACTGTCCGTTTACACGTTCTTTAAATTGTGACCCATATCCGAGTCATGTGTTTACACTATCTGAAACATCGCGCATGCTTAAAGGGTTAAATTCTCCTGCACAGATGGACGAACGCGAAACATGCTTGACACTTGCTCTGCGATAAATGCAAAGTTTGCCAAACATCAGCATGATGTTGAGGCGGAGGACGACGAACAGGACCATCATTGAGCCTGACCATACGCGTCAGTTACTGTGTGCGAGAGAGATCTCAGGACTGGTGGGACGGGAGCATATTGTGGCGGGCTTTAACGAGGAGCAGTGGGTCCGAAATTTTAGGATGAGCAAGCCAACCTTTGATATGTTGTGTCAACGTTTGTCCGCATTCCTCTCCTACGGCGACATGGCGTTTCGCCAGGCCGTGCCTTTGCAGATGCGTGTCTGGGTGGCTCTCGTCATTAAACCGCGGAGATAGCCTAAAGCCTTGTTTATACTTTCGCCTGGAATGTACATTTTCAGAAGAAAATGTGAGTGGTGCTTGCAGTGGCAAAACTCGCCACTCGGTTGCTAGGGTGTTGTAGCCTACATGATTGCATACGAGCCAACAACCATGTCTGTACGATATTGTGGAGCTGAGATATGGCTTATTCATGTGTTATGGTTACTAGGGTACTCTATATGGTTGCTATGGTGTGTTTATACAGTTTATGAGATGATTTTTAAAGACTAGTTGATGAGTCAAAAAAGCCGAACTCCTTTCTACTATTTTCTGGAGCTGAGATATGGCTTGTAAATGTTGTTTTATGGTTGCTAGGGTGCCCTAAGTGGTTGCTAGGGCACAGCTATGAAGTTATTATGTCACTACTTATTGACATTTCGAGTCATCAGGAATCAACGGTGAGAAGAAGAAAGGTCCACACGTGACAATGTTTATTTTAAAGTGCATTACCAAAAACAACACTACAAAAAGAATCGTGTAAAATCCAGTAAACCCTGAGATTATTACTTGTGACATTAGAAGAAAATATGTGGATATAAAAACATGTATGTAGTCTATATTTATAACTAAATTATTTTATTACTAAATAATTTTATATTTTATTACTAAATAATTTTATATTTTATTACTAAATAATTTATAACTAAATTAACGATCTCTTAAATATTTTCTAATTTCACTAAACATTTCATTAGGTTTCGTGGACATTTTATAAAACATGGATCTTTATTTTTATTAAAAAGGCGGCTTATGCTATTGTAGGCTCATTTTGTAAATATGCAACTGATTTAGACGCGCAAACTGGGTGCCGGAGCGGTGAGATGTACATGCTCGGGCAGATCATAGAAATGGACACAGTGACCCCATAGATTTCAACGGAGAAAAGTGAAGCCCATTAGAAGCGTCTCTTCCTGATGGCTGAGCGACTGCGCCGGCTCAAACTGAGCTTGACGATGGAGATGTGACGTGAGCAACCGTTCTGACAGCTGTACGTCTTCTAGTAGCTGTGCTGAGAGGAATCTGAATCATTCCCTTCCAAATCCCACAGAGCCGGAGATCGTGAGTATTAGCTGTCCATGAGCAGCAGGAGCAACTTTATAACTCTCTATGGGCTTCTCCCTGGACTTTATGCCTCCACGTCCCCCCGATTGCCCGCAAGCTTCTCCTCCTGTCTATACGGTAATTTCTCTACTGTGCGACAGAGAGTTGCGTGTTATGACGCAATCGTAAGTCTTTAAACGCCTCAGATGTAAAGTTAATCGCTGTCAAAGTGACGCCAAAATGAATGGGAGTCAATGGAATGCTAACAGCAGGTACAATGGCGGCGCCCAGGCAGGCTTCAGTTTCCGTCTGATGGATTACCCCCTTGGGGCAGATTCGGTTAGAAGTCGTTCATCTTCGGATGCAGCTTTAACCCTAACCCGCCCGCCAAGCGAAATGGGGTCTTGCACCCAACGCGCGTGACCGCCCACACCGCAATGACGTCATTTTTGCCGGCGCACCTTCGCGCTCGTGCGGACACGTCGAGTATAAACAAGGCTTTATGCTTCAGAAAATCCGATCAGCCTGTTTATATAGTCGCATTGGCACATATCTGATTTATATCCGATTTATTTCCACATATGAACGAGGCCTGAAACCGATCTCGAAATATCCGAATGCATGCGTTTTTTTCCTGTTTATACGGTCATAACACATCTGATCTGTGTCACATATGAGCAAAACATCCGAACTGGGTCACATTTCACTGACAGTGTGAACGAGGCCTGACTGTTGTGGCGTCATCACATTGTTGTGTGTACCTTTATTGTTCCTTTATCCTATATCACATTGTTCCTTTATTCCTTTATATTTTTCTTAGTTTTAAGAAGGTCAGCCTTATTTGTTTTTAAATGTGCTTTATAAATAAATATTGTATTGTATTGTCATCGAACGTCGTAAACTCATCTACTTTCACGGCCTTCTTTGTGTTCATAATCGCGCTCTAACTCAAACAGTCAGGAGAAATGTTTTTAAATAAAGACTGAAGGAGTTTTAATGAAGTTTAATGATGGTGATGTGTGTAGATCATTGTCAGCTTTTGACTTCTGCCAATTGTGTTTACGCTTGTTTTCATTAACGAAGATTATCATGATGAACAACATCAACAAACTTGTGTTAGTCACAGAGCTTATATTCGGCGATAATCCAAAAGCCAGGTCTCTTTGTTGAGGGATCCAGGATGGTTGTGCGACTGCAGTTCTTCACTAGTGTCCCTTATTCACTCCCAAGCCATCAACAGTTTACTGAATGCTACAAATGCTCCATGGCCAGGGTCACTGAAGACAAAGAGGAAATGAAGAAGAAATATCAGAAGAAAAGAACAGCAATGAAGACATGTATTTCTTTTCATCGGATGCCCATTTTCCACAAGTTGGGATGATTCTTTAGGGCAGGGGTCACCAACCTTTTTGAAAATGAGAGCTACATTTCAGGGGTACTGAGTCATATGAAGGGCTACCAGTTTGATACGCTCTTCTGAAATAACAAATTTGCTCAGTTTGCCTTTAGTTATACATTATTAATAATGATTAATGATACTCATCTATGTGAAGACACTGATCACATTAATGATTTCACACAATAATTATCAACAATGACAATAAGGTGGGAAACAGATATCATTATTCAGCACTTTAATCTCAGATTGTTAAATTTTCAGATGATCACTTACATCACTACATTTCATAGGAAAAATGTCCCATTTTCACTAGCCACTGAGAAACCCTTTTAACAAATCATGAACTATGTTGCACTGTTTCAAAAAGTTATCAATTATGTAATGTTAGAAAAATCAATTTACATATTTGTAAATAAATCTTGTCACATTTTGAACAAACGACCAAATCTGCTGCATTTTTTAACACACTTTTAAATTGAACACAATTCTTCAATATTTTAATTTAACTTTGGCATGGCACTGCCATGTTGCCACTGATAACATCTGGTATCTGTTTCTTAATGTTAATGGGAAGACTGGCATTGTATGCTGTTCACCATTGTATTGTAATCTGGTGTGTAACTTGACACTGCAACTGTGAGTGAGTCTTTCAGATGTGCATCAGTTAGGCGTGTTCTGTGTTTGTTCTTGATGAAGTTCATGTCAGAAAACGCTGATTCACAGAGATAGGTTGAACCAAACAGGCTCGCAACCTTCATAGCTGCTGTGCACACTCCACTGTACTTCTCTGTATCAACAAGGCTCCAAAAGTTTGGTGCAGCCTGGTAGGCTTTGAGGTGGAGGTCATTTTGCAATGTTATGATTTCAATCTCCAGCTGTCCAGCATCCAAGTTGAACGTTGCACTTATTTGCTCAGCAAAGCATGTTGTGTCCACATTCATGAAAGGATTGGAAATGAACGACACACATGGCTCAAGCTGATGAAGGTCACAAAACCTATTCTCAAACTCTTGCCCAAGTCTGTTTATGACTTCACAGTACTTTTCAGCAACTTTGTCAAATGTCTCAGAAGCAGAAGCATTGTCTTTCAGCACCGACTGCACAGAGGGAAAGTGCAGCACCTTTTTTTTCTGTAGATCCACAGAGAAAATGTTCATCTTGGCTTTAAATGCATTTAAAGCACTTATCATATCAACAACAGTCTTACCTTTGCCTTGCAGCTTGCAGTTCAAGTCGTTTAGTTTCCCAGTAATGTCCGTCAAAAATGCAAGGTCAAGTGTCCACTCTGTGTCCTCTAGCAGTGAGACGTCTTCGCCTTTGGACTGCTTGAACTCTTTGATTTCACCCAAAAGTGACAAAAAACGAAGTAAAACTCGTCCTCTGCTGAGCCATCGGATTTCTGTGTGTAGCAGCAGGTCACTAGCCTGGATGCCAGCCCGAACCCCGCCCACAACATTTTTTGATCGGGAAGTTCGGTCTGGACTCGCTCCATTGAGGAGTAATTATGATCGGTTCAGAAATCGTCGGGCCAATCAAATTGTCAGGGCGGGCTTTATACGATGATGGACAGATGATCTGCAGGGACGTAATCCTCACGTTATCAAAGAGCGCTTGGGTTGAACTGGTTTCCCTCACAGATGACTGCCGCTGGAGAACTGAGATGTATAGAGTCCGCTATTGCGTCTGTTGTAAAAGAAATCGACAGCGCATTCATTTTAAAAGACGAACATAGAACTGCAATCAAGGCATTTGTCGATCGGAAAGATGTGTTTGCCGTCCTTCCTACGGGATTCGGCAAAAGTTTAATTTATCAGCTGGCTCCGATGGTAACTAAGAAGATGGAACGCAATGAAAACCCTGTGGTCGTTGTAGTTTCTCCTTTGGTCGCACTCATAGAGGGCCAAGTAAAAGAAGCAACACTCGTTATTTTACTTCTTCCAGCGTGCGTGCATTTGAGTTCTGTAGTTGACAACTGTGCTATGCAAAGTAGTTGACTTACTGCGTTGCTCTCATTGGTTGTAGGTCTATCCAATTGAGTGCAGAGTTTTTTTTTTTCCTGGTTCGGTTAAGACACGCCTCATAATCATAGCCCTATGAAGCAGTATCAGACTCACATTCTGACTAGAATATGAGTATGACGAAGTCAGGCTAGCAGGTCACCATATTCAGCTGACATCTCCTCCAATAGCACCTTAAAAATCCTGTGCTGTTTTGCTTTGGAGCGGATATTGTTTATGATTTTTACAACGGGAGTCATCACGTGCCCAAAGCCGATCACTTTTGCACATAACGCCTGCTGGTGAATGATGCAATGGTAATGCAGAAATTTGGGGAAGTCTGGGTCACTTTTACAGTGCGCGATGAAACCTGTATGTCGGCCGATCATAGCAGGAGCCCCGTCTGTAGTCACGGCTACCAGCTTTTCCAATGGTACCTTTTTCTGCACGAAAAACTCCTTCACCGTGTTATAAATGTCAACTCCCCTCGTAGTTGTCTTTAAGGGCAGTAGTGTCAGGAGTTCTTCTCTTGTGGAGAAATCTTCAAACACCATCCGGATAAAAACTAACAGCTGTGCTGTACTGCTGCTGTCCACGGACTCGTCGCACTGGATGCTAAACCAGCTGCACTTCGCCAGATCCCGGTCCAGCTGATCGGCCAAGTTACCAGACATAGCTGACACTCGTCTAACCATCGTAGATGCACCCAGTTGGACGTCGGAAAGAGAGGAGATCAAATCGGTTACATTTTTCTCGTCTTTAAGTACAGTGTTAGCAATTATCATCATTGCTTCTTTGACAACTTCTCCGTCTGAAAATGCCTTCTTCTTCTTGATCAGTAAATGTGTAGCTCTAAACGAGGCTTCGGTTGCTTTTTGTGACTTTTTCGCCGTCCTCGTGAAAAAAGACTGTTGCTTACCCAAAGCTGCCTTTAGCTCACAGGCTTTTTCTGCCCGTAGTGCACTTCCCGGTGGGTAATTAGCATGGTAGATTTTGTGACAAGTAATGAAGTGTCTCTCCACATTGTGCCGTTTTGCCGTCGCCACAGTCGCCCCGCAAATGAGACACACGCAGGTTTCTTTCACCGTCGTAAAAAATAATTCCTCCTCCCATTCGTTGTGAAAGTGATAAGCTTTCTTCCTTTTTTCTGCCATGTTTTTGGGGCAAGAAACTGCATTCAGCTACCATCTTCGCTGCGCCCGCTAGCTTACTTCTCGCACTGTTTTTTTTGTCACGCGCACAATACTGACCTTTGAACTAGAGATCTCAATTCATGTATAATAAAAATATTTTTAAGATATTTTTGTCATTTTTAAATATATATAAATGCAAGTGTGATAAAAAAAAAATAGCAACAGAATACAATTAAATTTCAGACGCAGCTCACTAGTGAGTTGTGCTATTTTTAGAACAGGCCTGCGGGCGACTCATGTGGTCCTTGGGGGCGACCTGGTGCCCGCGGGCACCGTGTTGGTGACCCCTGCTTTAGGGTCTTCATGTAAAGTTTGTAACATACTTTGATTAAAATTCCTCAATGGTTGTGTAAAACAACTAGCCTGGTAATACCAAACTCTGCTACTTCGCTTTGCTTCATTGACAGAGTCTGGCATGTCATCATTGAAAAGTGTTTTCTTTCTCGCGGGGGGGGGGGGGGGGGGGATCTTTTCTGAAGTATAAAATCATTGGTTACCCGTAAGCCAATCACATAACGTCTGGTTATGACGTGTGTTATTCGCCAGCTCAGCCGCATCGAACTTCCACTGTAAACACATGTATGATACATACGACGACATACATCGGCCAGCAGCCATATCACCCTGTAGCCCAAGACTGGTTGCCCACTGAAGCTAAGCAGGGCTGAGCCTGGTTAGTACCTGGATGGGAGACCTTCTGAGAAAACCAGGTTGCTGCTGGAAGAGGTGTTAGTGAGGCCAGCAGGGGGCGCTCACCCTGTGGTCTGTGTGGGTCTTAACGCCCCAGTATAGTAATGGGGACACTATACTGTCAATTGAGCACCGTCCTTCGGATGAGACGTTAAACCGAGGTCCTGACTCTCTGTGGTCACAAAAAATCCCAGGATGTCTTTCGAAAGAGTAGGGGTGTAACCCCGGCATCCTGGCCAAATTTGCCCAGTGGCCTCTGTCCATCATGGCCTCCTAATCATCCCCATATATATACCAATTGGCTTCATCACTCTGTCTCCTCTCCACCAGTAAGCTGGTGTGTGGTGGGCGTTCTGGCGCAATATGGCTGCCGTCGCATCATCCAGGTGGATGCTGCACATTGGTGGTGGTTGAGGAGATCCCCCCTTCTATGTGAAGCGCTTTGAGTGTCCAGAAAAGCGCTATATAAATGTGATGAATTATTATTATTATTATTATTATTATGATGCGAAAACGAAACCATCGAGCGAAATACCGGAGTGAACATGGCTGCCCGAGTTTTGCTGCCTCCTCAACCTGATCCTCCATGAGTGCAACCAAGGGGGACACAATCACAACTATCGCCTTGCCGGCCTTTGGCCTCCCCAGTTACTCGCTGACGATCGGTAATAGTTGATAAACTAAACTTTTACCAAAACCTGTCGGGAGTAGGGCCACAACATCACCTTCATTCAAAATATTAACCAAACACTCTTCTTGTTCGGCCTTCAGGTTGGAAATGCCAGGAATATTCTCCACAACAGAGCGAATTGCATCCCGTGTCTCCATATCCGCGGTCGTTTTCGATTTCCCCAATCTTAAACTCGGTGCTTAGCGTCTACGTCACGGCTCTCAGCCCGCCCTCTGTTCGTTGATTGGCCGGCTGTTTTCAGGCCGGAGGAAAACTGAGAGACATGTAGATGTCTCAGACTGAGTACAGAAGCGAACTGAAAAAGAGCGGAAGTACGAAGTCTGACGTAGTCAGGCTATAAAACAACATCCTTTTACCTCCTCAAAAACAGCTCTGTTCACAGCGACCCGTTTCAGTGCATGTCTCTTTAAATGATAATGAGTAACTGCTAACCCCCGCTAACCTAACCTAACCTAACTTACACCTAAACTAACCTAACCTACACCTACACCTAAACTAACCTAGCCTACACCTAAACTAACCTAACCTAACCTACACCTAACCTAACCTAACCTACACCTAAACTAAACTAAACTAACCTACACCTAAACTAACCTAACCTACACCTACACCTAAACTAACCTAACCTAACCTACACCTAAACTTACCTTAACCTACACCTAACCTACACCTACACTAACCTACACCTAAACTAACCAAACCTACACCTAACCTACACCTAAACTAACCTACATCTACACCTACACCTAAACTAACCTAACCTACACCTAAACTAACCTAACCTACACCTAAACTAACCTAACCTACACTAACCTAACCTACACCTAAACTAACCTAACCTACACCTAAACTAACCTACACCTACACCTAAACTAACCTACACCTAAACTAACCTAACCTACACCTAAACTAACCTACACCTAAACTAACCTAACCTACACCTAAACTAACCTACACCTAAACTAACCTAACCTACACCTACACCTAAACTAACCTAACCTACACCTACACCTAAACTAACCTACACCTACACCTAAACTAACCTAACCTACACCTAAACTAACCTACACCTACACCTAAACTAACCTACACCTACACCTAAACTAACCTAACCTACACCTAAACTAACCTAACCTACACCTACACCTAAACTAGCCTAACCTTCACCTACACCTAACCTACACCTACGGCCTGAAGGAAGGAGAATAACATATTTGTAAAGTGGGTGATTGAGTCGTTTAAGATTTGTTGTGACTTTCGCAACGTGAATGTCGAGACACTATACGATAAATTAGGGGTAGGGATATCAATAATTGTACTTGCTAAATAAGTTATCTTTAATAATTTGTTCTTGTTGGTAACTGTTAGCATATGAAACAGTGTTTCTGTGTTTCTCGGCGGGGGTAATCAGAGAACAGTGTTCTTGTGGGTCGAGTTTACACCGAAGATTCACGGCAAGAGAAGATGAAAGTGTACTTGCAGAAGAGAATGGTCTGCGACATTGTAACACTGGCTGGACGCTTCAAAGCATTTCCAAAACTGTAGTCACAATCACACGATTACATCAGACAGAAGCGCACATCTGTTGACTGTGCGCTAGAATAGACCTGCACTGATGAGGACGGGTTCTGTTTGCTTTAGACGTGACTCGTCTGGTGTAGACAGGGTGTAAAACCTGAGTTTCTGTTAGCTTTCACAATGACATCCAGACATGATATCAAACATGACATCACTAAACAATCCCTTCAGCTTATTTTCTAGAATAATAAAAAGAGAGCTTCCTGTTTGCTGATTGACTGAGTTTGTGATAAGTTACCGATGAACAGTTTCAGTGTTCAGTCATAAATATTCACATGTTTTTTTTGCTCATTGTGAACCTAATGATGTAATGATATTCCAACTGTCCAGTCTAATCAAATTTGCTATTTAGTGACATTCTTTTTTAGTGATATAATAATAATAATAACAAACAGAAAAATAATCAACATTAATATTCAGGGAAGACCACAATTTACATTTAATTTGATGCAGTGGTGAGGGATATAAATAATGAATGTTGGCTGAAAAATGTTGAGAACTACTGTTTTAAAAGAAGGTTATTATAGTTGACTACAACTACGACTAAAGCCATAAAAACAATATTTTACTTTAAATAAAATAAATGTTAACTGAAATCAAATCGAATATTTCATCTAGTTGCCAAAGCAACATTTCTCATTTTTATTTAGTTTAACTCGATGTACTAAAATAACTAAAACTAAAACTGAAATAAAACATATTTTAACTAATAGAAACGACAAAAAAAGAAATAACAGAATTACTAAAAAAAAATTTAAAGTTAAAATGGAAATGGTAAAATAAAAACTAATTCAAAATATTATGAAAAACCTATAAAAGTATTTTAATAATACTAAAATAACACTGTTTAAAAGGTAAATATTTTATCAGAAATCTTCAATATGGTCAAATTCATACATTCATTTCTGATTCTCCTCATTGAAACTTTAAATATTTAATTAATTAATATTAATTAATTCATTACATTTATATAGCGCTTTTCTGGGTACTCAAAGCGCTTTACATAATGTAATGATATTTAAGTGATCATTTTTTATAAATAATCTTGTTGCCATGTTGTAATTACCATAATAATGAGATTTGCGTCCTCGTAATTCGCAACTCGTAATTACAACTTGCAAACTCGTAATTTCCCGAGAACTGACGGCTGCAGATTCATTTTGACGTTGATATTGTTGCCATATAGAAACACATAATTCCGAAGACGTGAACTTTTTTCTTTGATCTTTGAATGGAATGTCACTTATGATAATTACAGCATGAACGCAGAGTTAGCTAGTCTTTTCATCAGTATAAAACCCAGTTTGCCATCATCCAAATGTCTGAAGGCCAGAAAGTGTCTCATACCAGTGAAAGTAGCAGTGCCCTCCACAGGCGCCGTCATGCTGTCCGTTGTCCGCCGACTCCAGCTCCACGCCGAGATGGTAGTCGGGAGAGTTCCTCATGTTGCCCAGGAAGCGTAAGGTACCGGTGCTGATCCGGCCCGAGGGTAACATGATCCGGACCCTGTGCCCGATCTTCAGATCCAGGGGAGAGTGCGGAACGAACACTCGATGAGGTCCACCTCCACTCCGCCAAGACCTTACACTGAAGAAAAAGTCAAAACATCTAACCCTTATGCAGATACAACTCTTTAAATCTATCACTGATTGTTATAGAGGAATTCTTGATTCTGATTGGCCAATCACTGCATTCCAGAGTCAATTTATTACACGGTTCTCTGGAACACTTGATTGTGACAATGACAGGGAAGAATGAACATGTCAAGCTTAAAGGTGCATTGTGTAATATTTAGGAGGATCTGTTGACAGAAATGCAATATCATATACATAACTATGTTTTCAGTGGTGTATAAAGACCTTACATAAGGAACCGTTATGTGTTTATTACCTTAGAATGAGGCATTTCTCTCTACACACACCGTGGGTCCGCTTACATCGACATGTTTCTACGGTGGCCCTGAACGGACAAACGTGTTTCGAATGTTGTTCTTCATGCAAAGAAGCGAACTAAAGTCAGCGAATAAAACACTGACACAATGATGAACAAGTAACAATAATATTCGCAATAAAATCGTTTTACTGAATAATTAAGTAAACATAATTTCTTAATTTTTCTTTGTAAAGAAACCTCATTTCTGAACTTGCTCTGCTGTCTCAGACGACGACATCACTTCCTGTCGGCCACCGCAACTTCTGTTGGGTGCAATTAACAACCTCACCACTAGATGCCACTAAAACTTACACACTGCACCTTTAAAACATAATAAACGAGACCTGATGTTAGACATGGCAGAAGTGGCTCTGGAGTCTGATGGGCCGGTAACACCACTAAGCAATCCCATGTCAGATCCCTTCTGCTGGTGAATCTGTCTGAGACTGAGACCACCTATGGAAAGTTGGAAGAGATGGTCTAATTTCTTTTCATTCATTTCCATTTTCCTCACACCGTGTGCTAACCAGACATGATGCAGTGACACGATAAAAGGCGCCTTTTCATAATCATGATAATCAGCGTTTTTGTTCTAACCAGCCGGCTGGAACAACAACTTTATTTAATGTTAAAGGCATCTTAAATATCATTTTGTGTGACAGTTATAGCCATACTGAGAGCAACAATGGATAATTCACTTCACAGGGATTAAAGTGAAAAAAATTCTTCTGACTGAAATTTTTTTCAGGCCAAGTCATATTCCTGTAACTTTATTTAAATAGTCGAGACCAATAGCGTTTTAAGGGAAGATGTTTAAAACCGATCTAATATTGAGTAATTTAAAAGCTATTTTAATCTATGAAAAACAATTACTTATCTTGACAAATAATCAACCATCTACATAACTTTTCAGTGCGTGTTTTTATTTATCTTATGAGACCAAACAATGCTAAACTATATTAATATATAGTTTGTGCCATGGCAAATTGTTTTGGCTGAGGGCAAAGTGAAGTTTTATAACTTTATTATGTAGGCTATATTTAACTTTAACTTTGTAGCCTATTACAGAGCTGACTTATGTTTAATTGAATTGTTTGCTTTATTTCTCATTGTATAGCTTATTATAGCCTACCTAGGCTACTACTTTTGAACGGGATATTAGCATTAAAACTGACATTTAACAAAAAAGAGACATGGTTGTGTAATTTTATATATTCTAAAATATATAAAATATTATATTACTATGCATTCTCTTCACTGTATGTGTACGCATAATACAATAAAACGATACAACCCTGTCTGTTTGTTAAATGTCAGTTTTAATGATAAATAATGTTTCATATTTTTAAAATGAAAACAAAAAGAAGCAGGTTTGTGTTTTAGCTATATTTCGTGTTGTTATAACTATATGATAAATCAATGTGCGTTGCCTGAACCACATTTGTGTGGCCATTTATATGTTTATGATAATAATTATGTTCATTTATAAAAGAAAAGAGGCACAGTGGTGTTGATGAAAAAAGGCAGAGTTGATAACCGGAGTAGCCGCGTGCTGAGTGACGCGATCAAGAACGCGCTGTTAGCAGCGTCCTCTCGTTCTCGGGAGTTTGTTCTCCTGAGTCGAACTTGGCAAGTCCGAACTACCAAGGACGCAAGTCCGAAGTTTGCGTACTTGGTATTGAGAAACGACCAATATTGACCCGCGTTCTGTTTTCTATCATGGGACCGCAGCAAACGAGCTGTAGCCTCGCCTGACAAGATTGAGTGAACAGGGTCCAGGGAGCAGTTTTTCCGTGAGCGGGAATTGAAAAACCGGAGTGGACCATGAGCAAAGTGATTACAGAATGCTTAGAGTGGAGAGAGGAACGTGCTTTTGCTCCACTCCAGGCTTTATCACATCCCCCCTCAGCAGGGTGAATACGCATCATCTTTCCTTAATTTAAGACCTATTCAAACTAAAATTAAGACATTTATCACACTGTTTGCGAAATGAAAGCCTATTTACGGCCTTAAAATTATGAAAAGTTAATTTAAGACATAAGGACAGACGGGAACCCTGCAATTGACGGATATCCGTCATAGACTCGCTGCAATTAACGGAAATCCGTCGTAGCGACGGAGAACTTTAATCCCTGACTTCAGATGTTAAAGGGGACATATTTTGCAGAAAAAAGTGCTATAATCGGGTCCCCGGTGCTTCTACCAACCCAGAAAACGTGAAAAGTGAAACCCAGTAACTTTGTTTTGGTGAGTCTTTCTCTGCAAGTATGTCAAAAAATAAGCAAATCAGATTTCGCTCTCCTTCTGACGTATGAAGAGGATCTTATTATAATATAACCGGCCCTTAATCTGCACGTTTATAATATTACCGGCCCTTAATCTGCACGTTTATAATATTACCCGGCCCTTAATCTGCACGTTTATAATATTACCGGCCCTTAATCTGCACGTTTATAATATTACCGGCCCTTAATCTGCACGTTTATAATATTACAGGCCCTTAATCTGCACGATTATAATATTACAGACCCTTAATCTGCACGTTTATAATATTACCGGCCCTTAATCTGCACGTTTATAATATTACAGACCCTTAATCTGAACGTTTATAATATTACCGGCCCTTAATCTGCACGTTTATAATATTACCGGCCCTTAATCTGCACGTTTATAATATTACCGGCCCTTAATCTGCACGTTTATAATATTACAGGCCCTTAATCTGCACGATTATAATATTACCGGCCCTTAATCTGCACGTTTATAATATTACCGGCCCTTAATCTGCACGTTTATAATATTACAGGCCCTTAATCTGCACGATTATAATATTACAGACCCTTAATCTGAACGTTTATAATATTACCGGCCCTTAATCTGCACGTTTATAATATTACAGACCCTTAATCTGAACGTTTATAATATTACCGGCCCTTAATCTGCACGTTTATAATATTACAGGCCCTTAATCTGCACGATTATAATATTACAGACCCTTAATCTGAACGTTTATAATATTACCGGCCCTTAATCTGCACGTTTATAATATTACAGACCCTTAATCTGAACGTTTATAATATTACCGGCCCTTAATCTGCACGTTTATAATATTACCGGCCCTTAATCTGCACGTTTATAATATTACCGGCCCTTAATCTGCACGTTTATAATATTACCGGCCCTTAATCTGCACGTTTATAATATTACCGGCCCTTAATCTGCACGTTTATAATATTACCGGCCCTTAATCTGCACGTTTATAATATTACAGGCCCTTAATCTGCACGATTATAATATTACAGACCCTTAATCTGAACGTTTATAATATTACCGGCCCTTAATCTGCACGTTTATAATATTACAGACCCTTAATCTGAACGTTTATAATATTACCGGCCCTTAATCTGCACGTTTATAATATTACCGGCCCTTAATCTGCACGTTTATAATATTACCGGCCCTTAATCTGCACGTTTATAATATTACCGGCCCTTAATCTGCACGTTTATAATATTACCGGCCCTTAATCTGCACGTTTATAATATTACCGGCCCTTAATCTGAACGTTTATAATATTACAGACCCTTAATCTGAACGTTTATAATATTACCGGCCCTTAATCTGCACGTTTATAATATTACCGGCCCTTAATCTGCACGTTTATAATATTACCGGCCCTTAATCTGCACGTTTATAATATTACCGGCCCTTAATCTGAACGTTTATAATATTACCGGCCCTTAATCTGCACGTTTATAATATTACCGGCCCTTAATCCGCACGTTTATTATATTACCGGCCCTTAATCCGCACGTTTATTATATTACCGGCCCTTAATCCGCACGTTTATTATATTACCGGCCCTTAATCCGCACGTTTATTATATTACCCGGCCCTTAATCCGCACAATTATAATATTACCGGCCCTTAATCCGAATGTTTATAATATTACCGGCCCTTAATCTGAACGTTTATAATATTACCGGCCTATAATCTGCACGTTTATAATATTACAGGCCCTTAATCTGCACGTTTATAATATTACTGGCCCTTAATCTGCACGTTTATAATATTACAGACCCTTAATCTGAACGTTTATAATATTACCGGCCCTTAATCTGCACGTTTATAATATTACCGGCCCTTAATCTGCACGTTTATAATATTACCGGCCCTTAATCTGCACGTTTATAATATTACCGGCCCTTAATCTGCACGTTTATAATATTACCGGCCCTTAATCTGCACGTTTATAATATTACCGGCCCTTAATCTGCACGTTTATAATATTACAGGCCCTTAATCTGAACGTTTATAATATTACCGGCCCTTAATCTGCACGTTTATAATATTACAGACCCTTAATCTGAACGTTTATAATATTACCGGCCCTTAATCTGCACGTTTATAATATTACCGGCCCTTAATCTGCACGTTTATAATATTACCGGCCCTTAATCTGCACGTTTATAATATTACCGGCCCTTAATCTGCACGTTTATAATATTACCGGCCCTTAATCTGCACGTTTATAATATTACCGGCCCTTAATCTGAACGTTTATAATATTACAGACCCTTAATCTGAACGTTTATAATATTACCGGCCCTTAATCTGCACGTTTATAATATTACCGGCCCTTAATCTGCACGTTTATAATATTACCGGCCCTTAATCTGCACGTTTATAATATTACCGGCCCTTAATCTGAACGTTTATAATATTACCGGCCCTTAATCTGCACGTTTATAATATTACCGGCCCTTAATCCGCACGTTTATTATATTACCGGCCCTTAATCCGCACGTTTATTATATTACCGGCCCTTAATCCGCACGTTTATTATATTACCGGCCCTTAATCCGCACGTTTATTATATTACCCGGCCCTTAATCCGCACAATTATAATATTACCGGCCCTTAATCCGAATGTTTATAATATTACCGGCCCTTAATCTGAACGTTTATAATATTACCGGCCTATAATCTGCACGTTTATAATATTACAGGCCCTTAATCTGCACGTTTATAATATTACTGGCCCTTAATCTGCACGTTTATAATATTACCGGCCCTTAATCTGCACGTTTATAACATTACCGGCCTTTAATCTGCACGTTTATAACATTACCGGCCCTTAATCTGCACGTTTATAATATTACCGCCCCTTAATCCGCACGTTTATTATATTACCGGCCCTTAATCTGCACGTTTATTATATTACCGGCTCTTAATCTGCACGTTTATAATATTACCGCCCCTTAATCTGAACGTTTATAATATTACCGGCCCTTAATCTGCACATTTATAATGTTACCGGCCCTTAATCTACACGTTTATAGTATTACCGGCCCTTAATCTGCACGTTTATAATATTACCGGCCCTTAATCTGCACGTTTATAATATTACCGGCCCTTAATCTGAACGTTTATAATATTACATGCCCTTAATCTGCATGTTTATAATATTACCGGCCCTTAATCTGCACGTTTATAATATTACCGGCCCTTAATCTGCACGTTTATAATGTTACCGGCCCTTAATCTGCACGTTTATAATATTACCGGCCCTTAATCAGCACGTTTATAATGTTACCGGCCCTTAATCTACACGTTTATAATATTACCGGCCCTTAATCTGCACGTTTATAATATTACCGGCCCTTAATCTGCACGTTTATAATATTACCGGCCCTTAATCTGCACGTTTATAATATTACCGGCCCTTAATCTGCACGTTTATAATATTACCGGCCCTTAATCTGCACGTTTATAATATTACCGGCCCTTAATCCGCACGTTTATAATATTACCGGCCCTTAATCCGCACGTTTATAATATTACCGGCCCTTAATCTGCACGTTTACACACACCAGCCGACATTCGGTTCGGCGAGCGCCAACAGAGACCAGTTCTAATGCAATGGCAGAAGATCCAGCTAAGCCTGAAACTGTTCTGTGGTTGAGCACAGACGAGCACTGAACAATACTGACCAGAACATGTCACCGCTGTCTTATAAACACCTCAGGAACTGTGGACACTTGTGGAAGAGTTCAACATGATGGTACATGCAAGACGATGAGATCAATGTTACTCCACAACAACTACATAAATGATCCACTAACATTCAGAAACGTCTAAAAGTGAAACTCTCCCTGAGTCTCTCCGTAAGGCTGCACTCGCTACTGGTTATTTCTGAGATTTTGGATGAGTGATATTCCCATGTTTTGTTATTGCTGGAGTCTCTGAAGCTCGTGTAAAGGCTCCGCCCTGGAGGCGGAGCAGCAGCTCATTTGCATTTAAAGGGACACACACAAAAACAGCGCATTTCTGCTCACACCCAAAAAGGGGCAACTTTGACAAGCTATAATAAATGATCTAGGATTCTAGGGGACATTTTGAGCTGAAATTTCACAGACACATTCTGGGGACACCATAGATTTATATTACATCTTATGAAAAGGGGCATAATATGTCACCTTTAAATTAAGTTAAAGGAAACAAGAGCATTCAAGCTTACTCAATGTGAGCAAACAAGTTCGACAAAGATTGCTTCTGTCACTCGGTAAGTAATTTTAATAATGTTAAAATGGTGTAATATTAATATGCAGTGTGCTTGCAGAGAGGCTCCGCCCACACGCTCTTCTGATTGGCGTCTGGTAGTCGTGTCACATGATCTGGTGTGGAGAGTCTAAAATGCTTGTCACTGGAATCGTATCCCATCGCGTCTGGTAAGGACACGGTGTAACACCAGGGCAGTTTTGACATCCAGTCCACCAAAGGAATATGAAACTCTTACTAGAACATTCATGTTCCTTCTCCTCAGAATCCAGTCCGTTCTCCAACCCGGACTCTACAAAGACCTCGTTTGTATCATCTGAATCGGTGTCTCTGTACAGCAATCCAGACCTCACCAGAACCTCAGCGCTCAACTGAAAAGATCACATCACACAATTCAAATGCAAGTATAAAAGGTTAGGTTTCCGTCAGGCGCTTCATTTACTGTATATACAACCTTTTAGGGGTTCCCATCATGGCATCATTTTATGGATTTAGTCCTAAATAATTTAGCTTTAATTCATTTTTTTATTTTGATACAATTAAACAGCTTGTTAGCATACTTTATCACTAGAAAATTAGAAATAGCTCATAAAACATGAAGACATTTCTCCTTATATAAACCATTTTGGCATAAAGGGTTCTTTAAAATTGAATCAAGAACCCTAGAGTTCTATATTGAACCCTATTTTCTAAGAGTGATACAGAAACCTTGTCTGTTCACACACTGCAAAAAACAAACAAACAATTATTGGAGTGGGTAGTATGACGATATATATCGTTACCACGGTATAAAATGTTGAGATTTTGCTGTAAATATCACGGTGTGTAAATATATAGCTCTTTTGACACTTTAGTTTAGAGTGATAAGTGTGCTTGATGTTATAAAAGAGCTATAAGCGCAATCTATCCTGAAAAGGACCTCGGTACGGTGCTCGTGCTGACTGGCACACACAGAAAGCTGCCTGTCTCAGTCGATCGCGGATTTGGGACGTGCTCGGCACTGCTCGATGTTCAAAAGTTTTACTAAGCAGTGAAAAAGAGCTCAATGTGGTGCACGCGCCGACTGACACAGCATAAACACAATGTATTGATGAGGAGACCATATGTGATTGAACTGAACTGGCTTTTACACGCGTCTGCCTATGATATAATGATGGTGATGCTATAGTGCCTCACAGCGTTCACGCCATTACATTACAACATGTATCATACATGACAGCGTGCACAGAAAGCAGAGTCTCTCAGCATGTGATCGCGAATTCAGTTCTCTTTCACGTCTTATTGCGCTTGAATGGTCGAATACACACACAATTACGTCAAAACGCCCATCGTGTGCAGTATTCACGTGAACACAGCCAGTTATGGTTATGGCTGAAGTGAAGGGTGTAAACTGGATGTGTATCAGTATAATGGATCTGTGCATTCGGTCTTAAAGGGACAGCAGCTAATAAACCTGCTCTGTGTATCATTAATATGAATCAAACAAAAGAGAATATCACTTACTGCTCTTCACTGAATAACTTTTTTAGCTTTAATAATAAACAAATTTATATTTAATCCATACAGTGATGACTATGCAATATTTTATTTTTATATTTGATTATTACATTTCTGTACTAATTCTAACATGTTAAATAAACCTATTGTACCTGAAAAACTTAATTTGTTTAATTCATATTTTTGTTATATTGTATTTGTCCTATTGTTTGTAATTTGCTTCTTTTTAATCATTTTTAATAATAGAAATGAGAGAAAATAACACAAATAACTATATTGCGGTATACACTCACCTAAAGGATTATTAGGAACACCATACTAATACTGTGTTTGACCCCCTTTCACCTTCAGAACTGCCTTATTTCTACGTGGCATTGATTCAACAAGGTGCTGAAAGCATTCTTTAGAAATGTTGGCCAATATTGGTAGGATAGCATCTTGCAATTGATGGAGATTTGTGGGATGCACATCCAGGGCACGAAGCTCCTGTTCCACCACATCCCAAAGATGCTCTATTGGGTTGAGATCTGGTGACTGTGGGGGGCATTTTAGTACAGTGAACTCATTGTCATGTTCAAGAAACCAATTTGAAATGATTCGAGCTTTGTGACATGGTGCATTATCCTGCTGGAAGTAGCCATCAGAGGATGGGTACATGGTGGCCATAAAGGGATGGACATGGTCAGAAACAATGCTCAGGTAGGCCGTGGCATTTAAACGATGCCCATTTGGCATTAAGGGGCCTAAAGTGTGCCAAGAAAACATCCCCCACACCATTACACCACCACCACCAGCCTGCACAGTGGTAACAAGGCATGATGGATCCATGTTCTCATTCAGTTTACGCCAAACTCTGACTCTACCATCTGAATGTCTCAACAGAAATCGAGACTCATCAAACCAGGCAACATTTTTCCAGTCTTCAACTGTCCAATTTTGGTGAGCTCTTGCAAATTGTAGCCTCTTTTTCCTATTTGTAGTGGAGATGAGTGGTACCCGGTGGGGTCTTCTGCTGTTGTAGCCCATCCGCCTCAAGGTTGTGCGTGTTGTGGCTTCACAAAAGCTTTGCTGCATACCTCGGTTGTAACGAGTGGTTATTTCAGTCAAAGTTGCTCTTCTATCAGCTTGAATCAGTCGGCCCATTCTCCTCTGACCTCTAGCATCAACAAGGCATTTTCGCCCACAGGACTGCTGCTTACTGGATGTTTTTCCCTTTTCACACCATTCTTTGTAAACCCTAGAAATGGTTGTGCGTGAAAATCCCAGTAACTGAGCAGATTGTGAAATACTCAGACCGGCCCGTCTGGCACCAACAACATGCCACGCTCAAAATTGTTAAAATCACCTTTCTTTCCCATTCTGACATTCAGTTTGGAGTTCAGGAGATTGTCTTGACCAGGACCACACCCCTAAATGCATTGAAGCAACTGCCATGTGATTGTTTGATTAGATAATTGCATTAATGAGAAATTGAACAGGTGTTCCTAATAATCCTTTATGTGAGTGTATATCGTATATACAGACGGCCGTACACAAGTCGACTTACGCCAGAAGAGTAACACTTGACGATGTGTGACGTAGACGTAGGAGTAGCGTAAGCTTTGACGCCTCTCGTCATTACGTTGTGAGTCAAGTTGAAGAGTTACTCTTTTGGCGTAAGTCGACTTGCGTACAGCCACCTGCCGGAAGCTAGTTATTTTAGTCGATAAAGTTTTAAATATGTATATTTTTCTTACACCGACACATGGCTTCGCTTCAGAAGGCCTTCATTAACCCCCGCAGAACCGTTTCAAGCACTTTTATCACGGATGAATGCGTTTTGATGGACTTCCAAAAAAATATACCCAATGACTCCATCATAAAGCTTTGAAGAGCCAAGACATTTTTTAATATAACTCTGATTGTATTCGTCTGAAAGAAGAATGTTATATAGGTCTAGGATGGGTGGAGGGCGAGTAAATCATGGGCTAATTTTCATTTTTGGCTGAACTATCCCTTTAAGGGCCAGATTTACTAACAGCTTACTCCATCTGCACAAACCCTCTTTTGCCGTTAAAAAACTACTGTCAGGATTTATTAAAGACACACAGTGAAAGATTTGCGCTGAAAAGGCCTGGACACAGTTATTTTTGCTGCTGACTTTATTGCATTTCTATTGCTCACACTTTATATGAGGTGTTTTTAAATACTTTGTAGTTACGTCAAAAAATAAGTACAGTGCACTTATTTTGTTGATATGTGCATATGTGAATATGTGGGTACGGTTAGAGACAGGTCTGCTGGTATGGGTAGGGTTAAGCGGTAAGGGAAGGTTAACAGAGTAATTATAGATGCAATTACAGAAAATAATTACAGATGTAATTACATGTGGGTTTCTAAATATAAGTACAATGTAAAAACATACTGTACACAATAAGTGCATTGTATCAAATTATTAATTTAAATGTTAGTACATTTAAGTAGGCTACACATAACGTGGGACCTGTGCATTTGTAGAAGTTTGCCTCTCAGACGCAACATTTATGGGAGGAGAGTATTTACTGCAACCTTTGAGCATCGCTAGTTTCAGTCGCCAACCCCATCAATTACCTAATGAAGCAGTTATACTCATTATCAAAAAAACGTGCATGCTACATTTAGCATTTAAACAAAGGGCAAGCAGTCAAAGTGTCACAGGTGGTTCGTTATAATGGATTTGTGAGTTAGATTAATTTGTGAAATATTATGAGACACACATAGGCCTACCTGGTCTCTCAGATCACGTTGTCTCCTTCGCAGCTCCACAAACCGCATCTCCCATGATGCTCTCTGGTTTGCGATCTCTATCTTCAGCTCCTGGATCTCCCCTTCAGCCTTTAACAGTCTCTTGTGCAGGCGTTCACGCTGAACACCGTGTTCTGCTCTGTCCTTCTTCTCAGAGACTGTGTTCACATCTGTCCCTGCGAGATGCTTGACACCTTGGACAACTACAGATTTATAAGGCTTAATATTTTGACAAAAGCAAATCAAACGGTTAATATGATAGTTCACCTAATTTTTTTTTTTTTTAAATAATCATTTTCTCACTTGCATGTTGTATGAAACCTCTGTGGTTTTCTTGTGGAACAAAAAAATCTGTATTTAAAAAAAAAAAATCTCAATATACAATGAATGTCAGTGTTGTTTTGGATGGACAAAAACATTCTTCACAATATAATGTTCCACAGAAGAAAGAAAGTCATAGAGGTTTTGTAAGAGACGAGGTCCAAGGAATCAATGACAGAATGTTAATTTTCCCTTTAAGGACCCTTCATTTATGAGTTCTGCAATGTGATTTTGTCAGACTATTTTTCATACAAAACTAGCCTGCCATCTATTGGACAAGTATGGACATAACATGTTTCTTGCATATAAATAATTTAACATTTACAGATAACTCATCCACATGTTATGATGTATTGGTAGAGTTAAAACATTTACCTTACAATTGACTGTCAAGCTTTCGCGCCTGGCACATCTATTACAGTGTGTATGCACCGGTGTCAGACATTCCCAATGAGATAATTAGTAATTTTTGGCGAACATGTGAAATATCTGAGAGAGCAAGACAATTAAGGGACTGCAATATGCATTCGAGGGATATATCCACGACATAATATGCAACCGATTAGAGAATAATTTCATAAAAATTTAAGCTAAAGCCTAGTCCCAGCGCAAGGCCTCATACGCTGACCATTCAAATGGGAAACACACAAATTGAGGAACAGCTATGTTCGTGCACAGCAGGGTAAGTGATGTGAAAATAATCTACCGGTAATAATTATAAATCAAACAGGAAATAAATCTTGCGGAATAACACCGGGAGAGCCACGGTCGGATTGGGTTAAAGTTAACGTTACTTAGTCAGGGGTAGTAGGCTGTCGATTAACAAAATGCTGAAATATATTTTAAAGTATGTCAGTGAGCCTCCATCTTGTCTTTAATCGTCTTATTTTACGTTAAAATATATGCATTATGAACAAAGAACCGTCATTATTTCCAACTTCCAAGCAATAGGTGTTTTTGTTAATCCTGTGGACATGTAGTTGTGAATGGGGTCTCACACACTGCTTGATCACGCCCGGCATTTCTCCCCTCGGCTTTTAGATTTTCGGGAAGGAAAAAAATTCCACTCCCCCGTCCAAACTTTTAGGATATCGGGTATCAGATTTGCACAATCCTTACGCACAACACTTCGGCATGTTTCCCTGGCTAGAAAGCTTGCCAGACCTCCCGCGCCCAGTTACGGTTGCTAAGACACGATTGGCCAGTGGCGGTTTTCGGGCGTGGCTTAGCGAAGGGTCAATTGTAAAACAATCAGCAGAGTTTGAATATAAAAAATGTATCATGACTGCAGCTCTATGCTGGATGTTTGGATTTACCTGTGGTCAGTTTATGGTCAGTATCCGCTGCGTTCTCCGTCCATGGGGCAGATTTTAGAGCACAATATGGGCTGACCTACAGTACAAACAAATAACATTTGATTCAATTTAGCAGTCATAACTGGAATAAGCTATATGTATACAATGTATTAACATTAGCATTAAAGAGGACCTATTATGGGTTTTTTTTTTATCTCTCTTTAGTGTGTAATGTTGCTGTTTGAGCATGAAAAAGCTCCAGTTATTCTCTATATCAGAGTTAGTGTTTCTGAACTTCCGTGAACAAAACACATCACAATATTCCTTATTTAAATAATTCATATGCAGAATAAAGTGGCCGGGCCTGGTTGAGTTAGTTAGTTAGTTAGTAGTGTGTTGAAACTGTGGTCAAGCAGTGTGGTTATGGCAAGGGGTGGGACATTTCCCAAACACACTCAAAGCGCTCGACCAATCACAACACACTGCTCCAGCCGACCAATCAGAGCACAGTGTGCTTTTCAGAAGGAGGGGCTTCATAGAGACAGGAAGTAAACAGAGCGTTACCAAGGGGGTAATCCATCGACCGGAAGTTGAAGCCGGCCGGGTGCCGCCATGTTGTAGCAGAACTTCACTTGCGTTAGCATTTCCATTGACTCCCATTCATTTTGCCGTCACTTTGACAGCGAATAACTTTACATCTGAGGCGTTTAAAGACTCCATTTGTCCATTATTTATTTCTAAAGAAACACGACAATGTATAAAGGGCTCCATTACCTTCTATGTTACATTATGGCCCCGTAGAAACAGATTTAGTAAAAATAGGCTAACGATTGCGTCATAACCACTCGACTCCCTGTCGCGCTGTACAGAAATGACCGTACAGACAGGAGGAGAAGCTCGCAAGCAATCGGGGGGACGTCCCGTCAAGGGAGAAGCCCATAGATAATGAGTCCATAAAAGAAACGGAATACTTACTCCTGCTCACTAACGCCAAAGAACTCTTTGCTCAAGTTCCCCGTCTCTGCAAGATTAACGTTGGCAATTTTCACGCACAGCTACTAGAAGAGTAACGTCTGTCAGACAGGTTGCTCACGTCATCAAGCTTAGTTTGAGTCGGTTTGAGTCTGCGCTTCAGGAACGGAAGTGCTCAAAAATCACTAAAAATGGGCTTCAACTGTCTCAACTGAGTTCCAATGAGATGGCTCTGTCCACTTCTTATACTGTCTATCAGCGTTACTGACAGACTGGGAAGAGAGGAGCCGCAACAAAGGAGAATATGAGGAGAATAATCAACATTCAAGCAGGAAAACCTGTTCTAGTAGAGCCTGAAACAACATCAAGACTTTAGCATAATAGGTCCTCTTTTAAATAATGAACCGGTAAACTATGCTGAGAGTAAATAAAGTGATTTTCAAAATGGAAATGGGAATTGGTCAGGGCTAGGTCATATTCGTACGAATTTATACGATGGGCAAATATGTACAATTTAGCAAAAATCGTACAAATTCGTACGAGTGAGGTCGTATGAATTCGTACGAATTAACCACCTCGTAACATTCGTACGAATTGCCGTGAGATCGGGTTGGAAGGGCATAATAGGTCTTCTTTAACTGAAGAGTACACAATTCACCCAGAAAAACCTCCATGTGCACAACAGGCCCTTGAGTGTCCAGGCGACTGCTGACCACACACACGTAGCCATTTTATGGAGATTTCACATGGTGCCTGCAATACAGACATGGAATTAATTCAAGCATAATTCTGTATATTAAGTCCTTAAATTCTGACTCAGGTTTTAAGACTCATGACCAGAGTGACTGCCAACCGCTGTGGCTTTGAGTGAAAGAGGAATCTATTCTGCTATTTACTTCTGCAAAAACATTGAAGCAGGTAAATACCTTGATACAACAGTTGAATGATTCGGTGTCTGAATAAAGATCCCTGTTGAACTTCAGTGGATATAAAAGTGTGTGTTGGTTTGTTTCTCTTCAGCTGGTCATCCGATGGCATGTTTACAGACCAAGACTTCAGCAGACGCATCGAGCCTAGAGACATAATCCTGTGTAATCTGATTAGTGACAGGGTTACGTGCTCCTCTTGTGTCCCTTCATACTAATTTTGGTTCCTGATCCTATTTTTCCCATGTCCATATATCTGTGTATTGCAGTGGCAATGATCAGTGAGCGAAACCCTCAGATTCCTCTAAAACAAGCCCTAATCTAACAAGATGCTTCTGCTTGACTGAAATAAGCTTTAAAATCCTGATGTATCCAGTGTCATGGAGGGCAAAACATCCATAGAACTGCAGCACAGGCCTGTATATTTTTCATCTGTTTAAATACATGAATTTTTAGATCAAACCTTAAAACAAAAATAACAAACCGCAAGTCTTGGACACTATCACTGGTGATTCAATCACTAAAAACACCAGGCCGTTCTAAAATGCAAATGTACTATAGTGATGTTAAAAGATCAGTTTACAGGTGTGATCATGACACATAAACACTATGAAGCAAACTGATGCTTATATGTCATTCACAGTCTGGGGAAAAATCATGGTTTAATGAGTTGTTTATCATTTATGTAGTTGCACTTGCAACAAGATGATTATTTGAAAATTAATTCGAATTTAGTAATAAAACAGATCATAAAGCTGGGTAACTTTTTTTGTTGTTCAAAATGAACAACATTTAAATACTAAATCAATACATTATCAATCAATCAATGTTTTTGTCTTACCCTGATTCACTATGGTAAGCCTATTTGTGAATGCCTTTTCATTATGATTGTTGTAGCGCTGTGCTGGAATTTATTTTCAAGAAACTGCCGTGCCTATTAAAGTACAAAAATCACTATAGGCCTCAGTGCATATCAGGGTTGTGGGTAAGGAATGAAGTGAGGACTCAAAAGCAAAAAAAAAGCAACAACAAAAAAAATACCCTGTGGGGGAAAACAAGACAGCAACTGGACAAGGCAAGACTTGGCAAGGAAAACAGGATAGCAGGGCAGGACACAAGGGGTGCATTCGACGTCTGGGTCTCCCCTATCTGAATCCTGACAGACCGAACCAGCCGAGATTGGACCCAGCAGAATGAGTTTTATTTGATTTTTTTTCACTTTATTTTTAAAGATTTGACATTTTTACATTTGAACGAAAAACAGAATGAACTTAAAATAACAAACAGATAGACCGACCAAAGAAGAAATTATTCTCTATAATAAGAAGCCATAATACAGTGAATCATGTTCCTTAGATACATATTAGGTGGAATTATTATATATATTTTCTAACATAAATGGCATCTATTTATCAAAGAAAGCTTTCCATTTCTTCCAGTAACTTGCCCCTTTTTCCGAAGCATGCCTTAAGAAAAAGGTCAGTTTCTCCATGTTGTATATTTCGTTTGTAATTTCTATCCATTGTGATGAAGTAGGAGGGTCTATCTAGATTATATCGTACCTCATTAGTCTGTGGGGTTTTTTTTAACTTATGTATGTAACGACTAGCTTCTTGTTTGCATGTTCTCCACTCAAGTAATCTCCTGGCTTTATGTCCATTCTCGTAATAGGTTTGTTTGATAAATTTAGGCTTTTTGGTCAATTGATTTTCATAAAGTTCATTTAAAGTCTTCCGGGCCAGATTTAGTTGTTCTAAACTATCTGCATTGTTATTTCTTTGATGTTCCTCTTCCAAAAGCTTAAGTTCCCTGTCCTTATCAGCAATTCTTTTCTCTTTTTCTTTTTTCCTATGACCACATTATCAATTTACCTCTGAGAACTGCTTTAGCGGCATCCCATATTACTTGGTGAAGTATTTTCCTTATTATTGTGGTACATGTAATCTTCAAATTCCTTCTGATTGTATTGCTGAAATGCTTGTCTCGTTAAGAAAACTAGAGTTTAACCTCCAAAGCCTTTCTTTTCGTTTAATATCTAAATGTATTATTAAGTATACCCCTGCGTGATCCGAGATGTCTCTAACTCCATTTTCAGCATTAATCACTCCTCTTCCCTTCAGGTCGTTCGCGGCTTCTTGAAGATCTCTGTAAATCACTGGACCGGTTTGGAAATGAACACGGAGTCGCGCTGGGTATAGCGTCTGACAGCGAAGGTTTTTTTCCCTTAAGAGCTCTTCTAACGGGGGCATAGGCCTTCCTCTTTGCCAAGATGTCATTGGTGTAGTCTTGTTAAAAGAAAATGCGCTTCTCTTTGTATTGAATGTTGTTCTTCTTCCAAGCAGATTGAAGCACACGCTCTTTGATTTGAAACTCTAGAAAGCATAGGACGATTGATCTCGGGTTAGCTCCATGAGGAGGTTTAGCAGCCAGTGAGCGATGGCACCTTTGTATTCCGAGGGTGGTGTCGGGAAGAGCTAGCTCTGCTTTGATAAATCTCTCCACAAAACCCGTTATATCGTCTCCTTCGGCCTCCTCTTCTATGCCGTGGATCCTTAAATTGTTTCTACGGGAGCGTGCCTCTAAGTCTTCAAGCCGTGTTTGGAGTTGTTCCTGTAGTTCAAGTGAGTGGGATAGCATATCTCTTGCATCCGTGCTAAAGGCCTCCATTTCAGTGATTCTATCCTCAGTCGCCTCCACTCTAGTCGTTACATTTTTTATGTCGGTCTCAATAGCATTCAGTTTGGTATTCATTTCTCCTCTAAAATCACCAAGCTCCCTTTTGAGCTGCTCCGTTGCCTCGCTGAGCTCTTTAGAGATGTCCGTGCGTATTTGTTTTATTTCGTGAATGATGCTAACCTTCATAGCCTCCATGATATTGGCGTCTGTTAACTTGTCAGGGCACGAGGAGCTGTCCTCGCTGTCACTCGGTACTAAAACGTCCTCTTCTGAATTAACAGGAGTCTGTCCTTTGTTTTTTGATTTCCGTCCCCCTGGCATTATCTTCAGTAACTTTTATATCATTAAAATGGCGTTAAACCTTGAGGGGGATTCAAACCTGCCGGGAGCTCTATAATTATGCGACCGCTCGTCTCTCCGCCATTACTGGAAGCCAGCAGAATGAGTTTTAAGATACTTCCACCCACCAATGCTCAGGACGGTCCGGTCAGCGTGGGCTGGATGTGAGGGCCTTCGCCCAGACATTCTGGACTATGGATAGGGGCCTAGACTATCAGGATGCGGCTTTCAAAGACATTTTTAACCTCTGCTTGGAAAACCCTCTGCCACAGTGGGAGATGGAGGGGGTGAGAACCTTGGAGTTCTGGGAATTCCCCAACTATCTAGACCAGGGTTACTCAAACTCTGTCCTGGAGGGCCACTGTCCTGCAGAGTTTAGCGCAAATCCTGATCAAACACACCTGAGCAAGCTAATCAAGGTCTTCAGGATCACTAGAAACTCACAGGTAGGTGTGTTTGATCAGGGTTGGAGCTAAACTCTGCAGTACAGTGGCCCTCCAGGACCGAGTTTGAGGAATCCTGATCTAGACCTTCACAGACATTGAAAGCACTAACACGACCTGAATCCTTTTGCAGCGTCCAACCCACTCTCTCACCCTTGTCAAGTCAAGTTCCAGAGCCAGTCGATTCAGCTCCTGCCGGTCCAGAGCCAGTCGAGTTAGCTCCTGCCGGTCCAGAGCCAGTCGTGTCAGCTCCAGCCGGTCCAGAGCCAGTCCAAGTAAGCTTCTGCCGGTCCGGAGCTAGTCGAGTCAGCTCCTGCTGGTCCAGATCCAGTCGAGTCAGCTCCAGCCGGTCCAGAGCCAGTCGAGTAAGCTTCTGCCGGTCTGGAGCTAGTCAAGTCAGCTCCTGCTGGTCCAGATCCAGTCGAGTCAGCTCCAACCGGTCCAGAGCCAGTCGAGTCAGCTCCTGCTGGTCCAGACCCAGTCGAGTCAGCTCCAACCGGTCCAGAGCCAGTCGAGTAAGCTCCTGCCGGTCCGGAGCCAGTCGAGTAAGCTTCTGCCGGTCCGGAGCCAGTCGAGTCAGCTCCTGCTGTTCCAGAGCCAGTCGAGTCAGCTCCAGCCGGTCCAGAGCCAGTCGAGTAAGCTTCTGCCGGTCCGGAGCTAGTCAAGTCAGCTCCTGCTGGTCCAGATCCAGTCGAGTCAGCTCCAACCGGTCCAGAGCCAGTCGAGTCAGCTCCTGCTGTTCCAGAGCCAGTCGAGTCAGCTCCAACCGGTCCAGAGCCAGTCGAGTCAGCTCCTGCCGGTCCAGAGCCAGTCGAGTAAGCTCCTGCCGGTCCGGAGCCAGTCGTGTCAGCTCTGGCCGGTCCGGAGCTAGTCGAGTCAGCTCCTGCCGGTCCAGAGCCAGTCGAGTCAGCTCCAGCCGGTCCAGAGCCAGTCGTGTCAGCTCCAGCCGGTCCAGAGCCAGTCAAGTCAGCTCCTGCCGGTCCAGAGCCAGTCTAGTCAGCTCCAGCCGGTCCAGAGCCAGTCGTGTCAGCTCCAGCCGGTCCAGAGCCAGTCGAGTCAGCTCCAGCCAGTCCAGAGCCAGTCGTGTCAGCTCCAGCCGGTCCAGAGCCAGTCGAGTCAGCTCATGCCGGTCCGGAGCCAGTCAAGTCAGCTCCTGCCGGTCCAGAGCCAGTCGAGTCAGCTCCAGTCGGTCCAGAGCGTCAGCTCCAGCCGGTCCAGAGCCAGTCGAGTCAGCTCCTGCCTGTCCAGAGCCAGTCGAGTCAGCTCCTGGCGGTCCAGAGCTAGTCGAGTCAGCTCCTGCCGGTCTAGAGCCAGTCGTGTCAGCTCCTGCCGGTCCAGAGCCAGTCGAGCAGCTCCTGCCGTCCCAGAGCCAGTCAAGTCAGCTCCAGCTTGTCCAGAGCCAGTCGAGCAGCTCCTGCCGGTCCAGAGCCAGTCGAGCAGCTCCTGCCGGTTTAGAGCCAGTCAAGTCAGCTACAGCCGGTCCAGAGCGTCAGCTCCAGCCGGTCCAGAGCCAGTCGAGTCAGCTCCTGCAGGTCTAGAGCCAGTCGAGTCAGCTCCTGCCGGTCCAGAGCCAGTCGAGTCAGCTCCTGCCAGTCTAGAGCCAGTCGAGTCAGCTCCTGCCGTTCCAGAGCCAGTCGAGTCAGCTCCTGCCGTTCTAGAGCCAGTAGAGTCAGCTCCAGCCAGTCCAGA